TTAACAGGCTTCAGAAGTGTGTGTTGGGGGGAGATAGAGTTTAAACCTTTGTTAAATCTGTTTCTATCCACCACGTCACAAGGACTTATGGGAGAGGTCTCTTGTCAGTGGAGAGGTTCTCTAAATTTAATTACATTTGATAGTTAAAATGGCATTGCTCAGACATAATTGGAAACTCTTCAGAACAAATTGAGTAATTTTTTTTTAATCTAATGCTTTTCTTCTCTCTCATTTCTTGAAATGTCTAGATACTGGCTGCTCTGCAGAAAGATAACCGGGAAATGGAAAAAGGAAGTCCTTCACTGAAACGTTAACGTTGGGTTTGCCTCCAGTGGCTCCCAGGAAAAGAGCAAAAGTGGCAAAAGTATTGATTACTGTTTGACACGTATGAGCCCTACAAATCAAAGTGTTAGTTCAGTTACATTTAGTAGTAGAATAGCCTTAAGGGGGAGAGAAGAAAATCGAGGAGGAGAAGTGAAAAAAAACCAAGAAAGAAAATTAGGGGATAAACCCCTTATAAATTAAACCTAGGCTTAGCCTTAAACTTTTAGTGGTATGCGCATATGCTGTGGAGAGCATTACACATTCTGTACTTCTGATGAGGGCAGTGAAACAAAATAATATCAAGGGTTTGGGGGTTTTCTGAATTTTATTTCTTAGATGTTTTAAAAGACTGGACGTTCAACAATGTTGGTTGCTTTGACAGCTATTCCCCTTCCATTTTTAGGCAGGATATATTTCCAATACCTGTAAGAGTAACTGGATCTTGATTTTAGATAACTGGTGCTTGAATTCTAAATGATGTAAGGACCATTTCTTTAGAAATGCTTCTGATTTTATAGGATGTGGGTCCCATTTACCAAAGAAATCATGTAGACATAGAACTACATTCCTTTCTTTAATAAGAAAAAGTTAAGTAGAAAGTAAGCTTGGAAGAGAAGTCAAACTAGCAGTGCAAAACTAATTATTCTTCAAGATGCCTTGAAAATTTATTTTCAAATCCAATCTGGATGCATATGGAGGAAATTCCATTCATCAGACTAGATTCTAAACTCAACAAGAGGGTTCTGGTGTTAAGGTGGCATCATTTCCCAATTTGTACTCTTTCCTCTGTTGAAAGCCAAGGTCACGTACTACTAAATGCACATTTCCATGTGTCCCTCTCCTGGGGCACTGCTGTTTCACCATGTTCTTGCCTACCATCCACTTACTGTGTGCCATGTGTCCAGCCATGGAGATGAAACTGGACTTAGCAGATAAACTGAGAAATGGTTAAAAGCAATTTTGGTAGCTGCTTTAAACCAAGCATTTCTCACTGGCAGAACTAAGGAGGAGGGGTGGTAGTTTGCCAGTGCTTCTTTTCTGCTGAAAAGGTTTTGTGGAATCTCCTGAAGCTGCTGTTGCTGCCTCAGTGGGAAGGTCATGTGGAGCTGATCCACAGAGTGACAAGTGAAAGGAGTTTATTGGGAAATGTGCCAGACACCGTCAGGATAAGTACAAGCTGTCATTTCTGAGCATTTTATCTGACCTCTAAAACATGAGAGCAAGTTACAGTGGCAGCAAACGGCTGTTACATAAATCCCTCATACATCGTAGATCCTCTCTGCATTCAGGTGAATGTTGAAGGGCAAATCATGAGTGCCTCTGATTTACAAGAATGTTTATTGCATAGTGTGTAGTGTAAAACCTGTTTTATACTAATGATGATCATTGAAAAGGGAAAGGTAACTGAAGCAATATTTGTGTTAACTGTGAACAGGCGTTACTCAATCCTCCAGCTGCATGGTCAGCAGTTTCCCTGTGCTCTTCAGCTGCTTTATGCTGATGATTTTGGCATTGTCTGAATAAAAACAAGAAGAATAGTTGCACACTGCTCTACTCAACATACAGTGTAAAGGACTGTGGGACATAAAACACTGTCCTTTGGTACAGACATTATTTCTATGAGGGATAATTTGATTGTAATATTAAGAAGAGTGAGAACAAGATTCCCTGGTAAGTGAGGACTCATAATCACTTTGAAAGATGTGTAATGCAAATGCAGCCTGCAAGTCCAATACCTCATTGACCTCTTCTCCTGTCCACTTTGTGTAGCTGGTGTAATGGATGTGGTTTTTGTTGGTCATCTTAATTCCACCACAAGACATCACCTCAGTCATCACTTACTGAAAATAGACATTAAAGGTGTGATAGGAAACATGTTAATTCACTCAGAATTTGTACAGAATTTGTCCTCCAGTGACTGGTACTTGTATGCTCCATTGCTTTGAAGTGCAATAGAAAGCAGGAAGGTCAGTAAGTGTTTTTTAATATTACCTTTTCTATTACTACAACAAATATGCCTTTCCACGAGGAATACGAGAGGCCTACCATCTGAAACATTTGCACTATGCTTTAAAACGGTTTATGGAACACAGAGATCACTTTTTCCTCAATGTACATGTTTAGGTGGTACTGTAACTGGCTTCGTGATTTAAGTCTTCATTGCAACTACATTTGTATTTTCTTTTAAAGCAAGTCTACAAGTGTGGCTCATTTGTCTGGTTAAAAAAGCATTTTTAGCTAGTAGGTATCTCGGCAGCCATCGACAGCCTGTTCTTTCTCTCTTCTCAAGATGTTGAATGTAACAGTGACAGTGGGCATAGTTGTGGGGAAAAGGCCTGCTGCAACACTCGTGCACTGTTTGTTACTTGCAAATGTAATTACTTTGTTTTGTGATTTGATCTGTTCTTAGAAGTTGTATATATTTTCTAAATGATTTCTTTGTGTATATAAGGTATGTTCTTTAATGAAGAAACAGCAATGCAATAAGGAGCTTTGCACAGTTTATTTTCAAACAAAATACATGTGAAAAAAATCACCTGCCTAAACATGCAATTATTTTAACTTCTCAATGACTTGATTTGAAGGTAATGCTTGAATTTTGATAAAAACAGAGCTGAGTAGTAATGGCATAGAATTTCTTGCCACTGAGCTTTTTCAAGTTTCTTGCAGTATACCAAATCTCTTAATTAGCTAATACAGAAATCTTTAAGAAATTCAGGGAATTGCATTAAAAAATTGACAATATAATTGTTCAGGTACTTCAGAGTATCTGTAACAAGATGCATGAGATTTTCTTTCATGGAGTAAATGTCCCCATCAAGCAAACTTTCTTTTCTTCATGGGTTTAAAGAAAAATGGAACTGCTGCAATACATGAAAAGTACCACTGAACGTGCAGCAGATCAGAGAAACCAGAAAACTCCAGCCAGCTTTGGGATTCTTTACAATCTGCACTTTATAATAAAGCAGTTTTGCAACTTCGATCTGAAATCAATCAGTAATATTATTTCATTTAGTAAACAATTCCATTTGGAAAAAAAAAAGGTACCTTGTAACAGCTTATTTTTGAATGTTTTAAAACATGAATGATATATAGAGAAGTGTTGGTACATCTCCTGTACATCATGTTTAAATTGGGTTATGTAGTTACCACGTTTGTTTTGTTTAGATATGTGTATCAAACTGGAACTTTTTTCAACTGTAAATATATGGTTTTGTTAAATAAAGTCATGTAAAGTTATCTTAATCAACTGTTGTCAGTGTAATTCAGATATTAAAACTTCCAGTACTAGTCTTTTTCTTCACAGGTGGCTTTAGCAATTTTTGTCTGTTCAAAAAGAGGACTTTGGGCTATTTGTTAATTGAAGGTAGAGGGCTTTTGCTGATGCTTTGAAGTTCTCATGTTAAAATACCTGTTAAATACCCTGAGACATTTAGAAAATCTGATACTTACTGTGCCTGTGGTTTTATCCCTTTTCATACATCTTTTTCTGGACTAGACCTGAGGTCTGATAAATGTATTATGAAAAACAGTTGTAAATACATTTTTATGTGTTTTCAGAGTTCAGGAATGCTTAAGTACCTTATCCTGGCTTTGTTTCAAAAGAAGAAATATTAGTTTATTGCAAGTTTCATAATCACAAAGCATTTCTATGCTTGAGTTAAGGCAGTGTTGTTTTACTTCTGACATAGACATAACTTCAGAACTTAAAGTGGAGAAACTTCCTGTTGCTAAAATGAAAAGAGTTTGAAGGATCAAATAAAAGAGGGGAGAGAAGGCAGTACCTGTGCAACAAGAGAACGTGCAGAACACAGGCACAGCCTTGGCTGCCGTGGTTCTGGTGAATCCAGCGAGCAGCTGTCCCCCTTCCTTGCACCGAAGTGTCTCCTGGTGTGCAGAACTGGAATGGGAAATCGGATTTGTCCTCTCTAACACCGATTTGATACTGAAAGAGATTTATATTGCATCTGGTACAGGAGTTGCACACACTTGTTCAAAACGAGATTTACTTGTTTTCCCAAATAATAATTCCAAGTTTCTTCAGCCGTGCTCAGCAAGGAAGGGGGAATTTGCTTTCTGTCTTTTATCTGAACGCCCCTACAAGTAGGGTCAGCCCAGCACAATGACATTTCTGCGTTTCCAGCTGCTGACTCAGCAGCTCCCAGGATTTTTCCTGGAAGTCCTGAAGTGGTGTCCCAGTTCCAAGCACCCCACGTTGCCGCTGCAGTTTCAGGTTGTTTCCCCTCAGGCTTTCGGGCTGTTTCTCGGGATATTGCTCTGCCCTGACACGACACCCATCAGTTCGGCCTCTTCACCTTGGCTTTCCGCTTCCATTAACTCCGGTTTTTCCACGAAGTAGCTGTTTTTCCATGAATTCCATATTCTCATGGACTGCGTTCGATTGATCCTTTTGAGCTTCAGGATTCCATCGCAGGTAGCGGAGCTCTTTCTTCCCGTGCTCGCAGCACGGAGCGCCGGGCACTTCTCTCCGAGCAGTCACGGCGGTTCCGACAGCCCGCATTCACGCCTCAGCCGGATGTTTGCGTGGGCCGACAGGAGTACAACTACAAGCAGACTCGCTTTATTTCTTTAGTGCTCCCTGCCGGGAAGGGGCGCTTCCCTCAGGAGCGCCCCGGCCGTGGCGCGGGCGGCGGGGGCGCGGCCGCGCGCGCGCGCGGGCGGGGTAAGATGGCGGAACTGGGGAAGAAGTACTGCGTGTACTGCCTGGCCGAGGTGAGCCCGCTGCGCTTCCGCTGCACCGAGTGCGCCGACATCGAGCTCTGCCCCGAGTGCTTCTCGGCGGGCGCCGAGATCGGCCCGCACCGCCGATGGCACGGCTACCAGCTGGTGGACGGCGGCCGCTTCACCCTCTGGGGCGCCGAGGCCGAGGGCGGCTGGAGCAGCCGCGAGGAGCAGCTGCTGCTGGACGCCATCGAGCAGTTCGGCTTCGGCAACTGGGTAAGGGCCCAGGGGCAGGGGCGGGGGCGGGGGCGATCCTCCCGCTCGGAGCAGCGGCCCTGACACCGCCCCGGGTGCCCGGGCTGGAATCCTGCCCGTGCCTCCCGCAGCCCGTCCGTGTCCCAGCCCCGGCTGCTGCTCTTAGCCCTGCTCGGCGTGTCCCGGCTGCGGGCTGGCTGCTCCCCTTCGGTGTCACTGCGCAGCCAGACCTGGTTTGAAAAGCAGCAGTAAGAAAGCGTCCCACAGTCACAGCATGGGTCGGGTCGGAAAGGATTCCAGTGGGTCATCCCGGAGCACAGAGCACAGAACTGCATCCAGACGGTTCTGGGCTGTTTCCAGTGAGGGAGGCTCCACAGCCTCCCTGTCCCAGTGCTCAGTCACCTGCACAGTGAAGAAGTTCGTCCTCATGTACCTGTGGGACTTCCTGTGCATCAGTTTCTGCCTGTTAGCTCTTGTCCTGTTGCTTGGCACCACAGAGCAGAGCCTGGTCCATCTGACACCTCCCTTCAGATACTGATGGACTTTGCTGATGTCCCCTCTCGGTTGTCCCTTCTTGAGGCTGAGCAAGCCCAACTCCCTCAGCCTGTCCTTTTAAGAGAAATGCTCCAGTCCCCCAGTCATCCTCATTGCCCTCTGCTGGACCATTTGATTCATTTTTTGATTGATTTGATTTGATTTGTTGTTATGTATATTTTGTTTCATTATAATATAAATACTTTTTAAAAACCTTAAAGTGTACAAGTTGCAGCTTGCTTAGTTTTTAAATAACTAGAAAAGAATAAAAGTTGTTACTCTTACAGTAAACACTCTTTATTTCCACATTGCTCCTCAGTAATGTGATATAAAGAAGCAAAACCCGAGCTGTACAGTGCTGTTGGTGTTGGCTTGGAAAGCTTGGAAAGCTGGTTATGGTGAGCTGGCTTTGTGGGAGTGCCGTGGGTGCTCAGGAATCACCACGTGGTGCTGTTTTCCTGCCTCCATGCACTGTAAACGCTCATCCAGAGCTGAAATTGAGATCTGATAGAAATTTGGCCAATATTGCTAGAGAAGTTTAGGTACTGGGAGTTGGCTTCTGAGGAGCAAGGAGCAAGTCCTGCTCTTTCCTGTGGATGCAATGGGAATCGTTTCATCTCTGCTCCTTTTGTCCCCTTTAGGAGGACATGGCTGCTCACGTGGGCGCGTCCCGAACGCCTCAGGAGGTGATGGAGCACTACGTGAGCATGTACATCCACGGCAACCTGGGAAAGGCCTGCATCCCTGACACCATTCCCAACAGGGTGACGGACCACACGTGTCCCAGCGGCGGCCCGCTGTCCCCCAGCCTGACGACGCCGCTGCCGCCGCTGGACATCTCGGTGGCGGAGCAGCAGCAGCTGGGCTACATGCCCCTGCGCGACGACTACGAGATCGAGTACGACCAGGACGCCGAGACGCTCATCAGCGGCCTCTCGGTCAACTACGACGACGACGACGTGGAAATCGAGTTGAAAAGAGCCCACGTGGACATGTACGTGAGGAAGCTCAAGGAGAGGCAGCGGCGGAAGAACATTGCGCGAGATTATAACTTGGTCCCGGCCTTCCTGGGGAAGGATAAAAAGGACAAGGAGAAAGCTCCCAAACGGAAGATCACAAAAGAAGAGAAGGAGTTGAGGCTGAAACTGAGGCCTTTGTACCAGTTCATGTCTTGTAAGGAGTTTGAAGACTTCTTTGAGAACATGCACAAGGAGAGGATACTCCGAGCGAAGATTCGGGAGCTGCAGCGGTACCGGCGGAATGGGATCACCAAAATGGAGGAGTCGGCAGAGTACGAGGCGGCCCGGCACAAACGGGAGAAGAGGAAGGAGAACAAGAACATAGCTAGTTCCAAGAGAGGGAAGGAAGAGGGGAAAGAAGGTGAATTTGCTGCCATTGAAAACCTGCCTGGCTTTGAACTCTTATCGGACAGGGAAAAGGTGCTCTGCAGCTCTCTGAACTTGAGTCCTGCGCGTTACGTGACTGTAAAAACTATCATCATTAAAGACCATCTCCAAAAAAGACAAGGAATTCCTTCAAAGAGTCGCCTTCCCAGTTACTTAGATAAGGTACTGAAGAAAAGGATTTTAAACTTTCTGACAGAAAGCGGTTGGATATCCAGGGATGCTTCATGAAATTCAGCCGATTGAAAAAACACAGCAGAGGCCCATTACAGCCTCAAGGACTCCGTTATTTTTTCCTTCCCTCCCCAAAGATACAGAAACCATGTCGCTTAAAAACACAAAAGAGCAAATACATAAACCTCCACAGTCATCATGATCCGTGGTGGTTTAAGTAGACTTTTACTTTGGATCATGGAAAATACTTAATTGTGAAACTTTTACATTGGTTTTCACTGCTTTTGGTACATTCTTAGAACAGATTTTTTCATGTGAACTTACTCAAGTCCGGTAGTCCCAGAGTAGTTGCTTTAGTCCGTACTGTTGGATAGATGAATTTCAGTGTAATTCTTGCTTTTCTTTGCAGGTAGGAGATAGTTTCATTCACTGGAAACTTTCTTCATCCTTTGTTTTGTTTTGTTTTTTTTTGGCATAATGCTGGCAGCAAAGTGAAGCTTACAAAGGTCCTGTGCTCAGGAGCAGGTGAGCAGGGACTTTTGTGACCAGTGCTAAGCTTTTGGAACATTCTCCTTAGTAACTACAGCCGAGGCGTGGGGACAGCGGGATGAGAGTTCCTGTCCAGACTACAGCAGGGGTGAGCCGTGGCAGGGAGTGGAAGGAAGGAAGGAAATGTGGTAGGTGAGATGCCTGCAGGGACTTGTGCTGTGGAGGGGGGTTCTTGAAGGGCTCCCAGCTAATCTGGGCATTGTTTTGACCTGAGTTTCCTGAAACAGACCCTTGTGAAGAGTTGATGTTTCCTGCTTGGTACTGGAGTGTCAGGAATCCCCAGCAGCTGTGGTGCTCTGCTCCAGAGGAGGGATCAGCTACAGCAAGGTACCTGACTTGGGCCAGAAATGGCATTTGGGAGAACAGGCAGTGAAGTGTTTGGCAGAAGTTGAGAGCCTCAGGCAGCAAAATCACTGTTTTTCCTTGTTAGAGGAGCCTGCTGCTCCTCCTTCGGGATCTTAACTGCTGAGCTCCTAGAGGCTGAGGAGGTGTAGCTATCTCCTGAATTTCGTTGGGAAGTCAGGGAAAGGGAAGAGGATCCTCAAATAGGGTATGGTTGCTGAGATTGGTCTTTAAAAACAAAAATAAAAATTTATGCAGATTTGGTCAAAATGCACAAAGCGTTCCTAAATTTGGAGTGCTTAATCCAGCCACTGTAGGGTTCTAATTGCACATACCTTGAAAGGTACCAGCCCAGGCACATTGAATCTGAGTTTGCTGACAGCTAGAAGAGAGTGCACCTTGGGAGGATCTCCTCCAGTTCTGACAGCTGCTGCCTGGAGTGCTGCTGGGGCCAGGCACCAGCTGGGATGTGACACAGCAGGAAACACAAATGCCCAACACACAGTACTGCTCTAGTAAGATCTATTGATTAAGGGAAAGATGGTGAAGGAGGATTAGAAAATTATTATTAAACTCATTTTGTCCTTCAATTGCCTGCTGGTATTTAACCAAATGAATAAAAACCAGTGGAAATAGCACAGTTACTTGTGCCTGAGCCTCTCTGCTGGTCGTGTCTGGAGCAGGAAGCTGTGACTGGAGGCAGGCTGGACAGGTCTTGTGGAGTGCAGGTGTACCAAACTTGGAACCTGACTGGCTTCAATATGAGTGCAAGATCTGGAAATGTCATCTTGCTGTGATGCTTTGGGCTGTAGTCAGTGAGGATACCACAAAATCTTAAAACAGTATTAATTCTGCAGTTTGGCAGAGGTTTTCTGATCAGAACTGGGTTTCATTTAATACATCCAGCATTACCAAACTAGTGTTACCAGTGAGTTTAGAATAAAAGGGGTACAATTACAAAGCCAGCATTTCTAAGGAAAAAAACCCCAAACTCTAGTGCCTTTTTCTTTTGAGCTTATGTTCTGTCCCTTCAAAAAAGGTAAGGGCTATGTCCTCTGGGATGTAATACTTTGTTTGGCTTATCTGTAAGTGGTTTGTTGTGGCATACTCGAGACTAAACTGTCTCTTCTTGGCAGCAGTGGAGCTAACTGCAATGTGCTGAGTAGCTTTAATGACCACTTCCACCCTGTATGCATGTAGAAGCAGCACACAAGTTCGTAAGGTATAAACCTTTGGTTATTTTCTCTGTCCTGCTCCTGTGGGAAGGAAGCTCAGTCTTTCTTTTTAGCATTCTAGTTATGCAATTTGGTTCTTCTGTAACTTGTTACTGAACTGCCAGAACATGCTGTTTTGAAGGCTCAATTCTGCATGTAGCTGGGAGTTTAAGAGAATTGTTTTGGTTTTGGTTCTTCTGGGTTTTTTTCCCGTCAAATCTGTGATTTTCATATTTCTACACTGTTTTGGCACATCTAAGTTAAACTGAAGCAATAGCATAAAGCCCATCTGAACAATAACTTAGGAAAAAATCTAGGCACCAATGAGGCATTTAAATGTTGAAGTGAATTCTGCATTTACACTTTGTAGCTTCTTAATTCCTCAACCCCTCCAAAATGTTTCTTTGGTGCTAGATGTAACTTATTGAACATCAAAATGAATGTAAAATAAAAGTATTTTTAATGTATGCAATATGGATATCAATATTTATTTTGTACTTGCAAGCTAACTCAAGGTGGTAAATGTTTGCTTTAGCAAATATTAGTCCCTTGGAACGGGCTTCCCTAGAAGCAATGTCTCATTTTCAGCTATGCTTTTAATTTTAAAGGTGACTTGCACTAGAGGATGCTGCTGTTCCATATTTCACATGGAACTGATTTAGTCTAAGCATTCCTTTGTTATGAGCTGCTGGTTTTCTGTTTGATTGCTTATAAACTGAGATGCAGTTAATGTTAATCCAGCAATTTACTACAGCTATGCTGCTTCTCTTCTGTGGTGAAGGGGCTGAGATGGCAAAGAGCTCTTTCAACTTGTTTTTTGTGTTGATCTGGAAGTGCTTCCTGTACTGTACAAATAATCCAGCCTTCATGTTGCTAATGACAAGGTGTTTTATATGCTTAATGCTCTTGACTTTTCTAATTAAAGTTATTACTAATGATAGTATCTGTCTTAACAGCATTGATATAAGCCTATGGAAAAGCAACACTCTCTAAGCTGTTGAAATACTGATCTTGTGCTCTGGGTGGGGGCTGTGCTGTGTGTCCCACCCCAGTGCTGTGCTGGAGTCCCCATCTCACCCCGTGTGCCCTGCCCAGCACTGGGCTGGGATGCTGCAGTGCTGTGGCTCCAGCCCAGCAGGCAGGGAGCACAGTGGCTGCAGGTCTGCACTCCTCTGTGACCATGAGCTGCCCTGGAGATCAGCCAGACTGAGCTCTGCCCTGACTCTTGTGCAGCCGCTGCACTCGATTCCTCTCCAACTGGAACAGGCTTCCTGAACCTTCTGCTTTACTCTTCTCACAAAATATTTTTGCCTGTGCCCCAGTCACTCCTAAGTGATGACACATTAAATACTGTGAAGCAAGATACCCCGTGAGCATGTTCAGCTCGTCAGCTTCTTTCTTCCTTAAAGGGAATGTTGCATTCATTTGAAGTTTACATTTGTAGCTGTGCCAGGGACACAAACGCCAGTGCTGAAATCACACAAAGCATTTTACTAGATTTTTGCATTGTGTATTGGTAAATAAACTTGTATTAAAGTTTCTTTCCATGACTGATTTAACAAAAATGTAACTTGGGCAGTGAGGCAAACGGCTTAAGTCTTTGCAGTAACAATTGGAGCTGCATTGCAGCTAAATGTGATGGGTGGAAATGTGTCCATGAGATAGCTGGTACTGCTGGTAGCTTTGTTGGGTGCTTAAGTTTCAGAACTACCTTCCTCTCTTCCTTGAACTCTTCAGTGCTCCTTCCTGGGCTATGGCAGAGTGCAGAGGTGGTTGGAGCTCTCCCTAGACTGACCCACTCCAGCTGAAGCCTTTCTGAGGGCAAGGAAGGGGAACCACTGAAATGAGAGACTCAGTTACCAGCTTTAAAGATGACCTTGTGCTGAACATGAAGAGGAGCTTGTGTTTAAGAACACCCCTAATGAGTTGTAGTCCAAAAATGAGTTTGTGTGAAGCACTGGGAAGCTCATTAACAAAATCATCTGCTAGGGACCAATGTGCCCCTTTGCTTTAACTCTCTGTAACACAAACTTCTACACTAACAACATTATTACTACATTTAGTTTAGATCCAGAGGGATTGGGAGGTGACATAACAACACATGACAGTTCTTTAAAAGTATATAAAATGGAACCTGGTCCCTTTTTGACATCAGTTGTGAGAACAGGTCCCAATCAAAGTGCAGCAAAACCTTCTCTTCACACAACTACAGTGTGCTCTTAAACCCAGAGGGAGGAAAGATACTTCCAAATTCAACTTCAGTATATGGAATCCCCTTTTCCCCCCCTCTATTTTTAAACTTGATCTTTGCATTTTTTTTCCCTGTACTTGATTAGTTTAAAAATATAAACATTGTAGTTGCCTTCACACATCAAATATTACTCTCCTTCCTCTGCCCAGTCGAAGCATTCTTTGGTAGAGTTGAGAAAGAATGAATCCTTAAATATGATTAACATGACTAACCTCCAAACAGTTTTATGCACTTAGGCTGCTCCTGGTTAACTGCTTAATACCCATGAAGGAAACCAGCACTAGGAAAAATGTCTTAAGGAATGAGTAATGACTTCTCACCATGAGCAGGTCCAGTGGTCAGTAAGCTCTTGGCAACTCTGTATCTGAACCAAATATTTGATTAATGAACTTTAAGGTAAGAAGCTCCTTAATCCACAATAACCAGAAATATGGTAAAAAATTCAGAAGTACTTACTTTTTACAGGACTTAGTAACTTCCCTAATTTGAAGATTCTGTCCTGTGTGTTAAGTGTGGGCTTTCAGAATACAAGAGGACAGATCCTTTGTCAGTTGTGTAATTTGCCAGGTTCCACCCACTCCTCCCCAGGTGACCAGACAAATGTCCTTCAGGTCATCATGTCTTGTGTGATGATGTTTATGCTGATTCTGCAGGACTGGGAGCAGCAGATTGAGTTAGACATGGCAAGAGCTGCATGGAGAAAAGGTCTGGTGCAACCTAATACCCAAGCTGAGTAAATGTAAGAAATAAAGAAAATGAAACTAAGTTCACACTTTTGTTTGAGCCACTTACATGCAATTATTTATATAAGTCTAAAAGAAATCATATACCAAATTCTCAGCAACTCACTTCTTTGGGTGTTCTGGCTCTCATCAAGATTGTAACTACAGTTTGCATAACAAACTGATTGCAAAGCTAGAAGTTACAAGACTATAAAAATTGTTTAAACCAATTTGTACAACATTAAATTAAAAATCCAAAGATAGGATAAATTCTATTGGTTCTTCAATGCCATACAAGTATTAGATGGTTTTCTTGATTCAATGTTAGTACAGGACAAAAAGGTTGAACAATTACAAAGGATATCTAATCTCCATTGCCATTTATTTACAGTTCAAAATTCACACAGGTTTCAGTTGCAGTTGTTGAGATTATTTTTGAATGGACAAAAGAGGGCATTTATGACATCAGTGTGTAAAAGCTGATGGGTGCTTGCAGAAGGCAGGTTATTTGTACTGCATCACCCACTTCTGCAATGTGAGATTCTAGAAAACCAAAGGAAGTGTTTGAATCACTATCTGCATTTTCAATCTACACGCAGTGATGAACTTGAAATTGCAACATTCTTGTGAGCGTTTCATTCTTTTCAATTTAATTCACCATCTCAGGAGCAATGGTTGTAAAAAACATTACCTAATCTAAAGCATTAGAGGGCTTAATGGCTCTTGTAGTTCACATTGAAGAAGAGCTTGTGGAACAGTGACGTTGAAGGCCACTAAGCAGGAGAATTTCATCGGTTACTTCATTTTCACTGGGAAACCTCAACCAACTCATTTAAACCTCTCAGGGAGCAGAGGAACGAGGGAAGCACGGTGTGAGAGAAAAACCATCCAGCTGTTTAATAGTTGTATGGCATTTGCAACTCTCAGCTCGAGCAGCTAAGCGTCTTTGACCACCCCCACGAGGGCGGGCCGCAGCGTGCGCCCGTGCAGCTTGTAGCCGATCTTGGAAACCAGCGCGATGGTGCCGGGCTCCTGGCCCTCCACGGGCGTGTGGAACAGCGCCTCGTGCTCGTAGGGATCGAACTTGGCTCCCACAGGGTTCAGTCTCAGCAGCCCATGCTTTTTGAACACTTTCTGAATCTGGACTTCTGTCATGACAAGACCTTCGTATAAGCTCTTCAAGTGAGGATTATCATCTTTAATTTCTTCTTTTGGAACGCTTTCTGTTGCTTTCTCCAAAATGTCTGCAACTTCTAGTAAGTCCTTACAGAAGCTCTGGATCCCTGAAAATGTATAAAAGAGGAGAGAATGGGATTAGTCCACTGAGAGAAAGCCCCAACATCACAACCCCAAAAGCTACAGCAATAATCTGCACTCTTTGACTTTTAAGAATATTTGGGGTAAAATACCCTTTCCAGTTTTGGATGAGAATAAAGAACTATTGCATATACCTTGAAATCCACACCATCTCCTCTACTTCTATGGAAAAAAAGTGACTTCAACTCAAAAGAGTTAAGTTAGGCTAATGACCTAACAATAACAGTTGGAATTCTTACCCAAGTTACCAAAACTTTCAGATGGCTTCAAGTAGTTTCCTATGTCTCTCTCATCACCTAACATTCAAAGCATTATGTTGCCCTATTACAACTTTTAATCTGATGTCACAAAAATATTTGTAGAAGACAAAACATGTAATCAGACAGATGAAGATTTCAAGAGATGAACAAGGATTCTTCCTTGAATGAAAGGAACTTGCACCTCTCCCTCCTTCTACAAACCTCTTTTACAGAATCGGCAGCTGTGCCTTGCAAATACTGAGCAATTTCCAAATTCATCATAGTCCTTGTCGTAAAGCTGTTCTCTGGCTCACACTAAGAGAATCTGGACTAACCTTCACTTAAGGCATTAGCAATCAAGAAAAAATTAAAACAGTTCAATAAATTAACACACTCACACATAGAGGTAAGCAAAGGACAAACAGCACTGGGTTTGGTTTGGTTCTTCTTTAAGCCGGATTCCGCCTTTTTGATTCTAGCTCACATTTTAGATATTTGGGTTTTTTTCCCCTTACCAAGAAGTGATATGCCCATTACCAGAGGCCACATCTTTGGTTTAAACAAAACCCCCACAACTGTAGAAGCACCCTACAAGACCTGTGGGGATCAGCCAGTTCTCAGGAAAGGGTCTCTCTAACAACTGCACAACTCTGTAGAGACTCAAGCTCTTTACAGAACAGTAACTAACAATGTCCAAGTAGTTCCAAAAATCTGAAAAAAAACTGTCACAGTTTTAAACTAGAAACTAGATCTGTGATTTGGGCTGAACTGTACCCAATATAGATAAATCAGCTGTCTAGTTACCTGGATCAAACCAAATAACCAAACTCTTCAGAAGGTGGTTTGGCTTGTTTTTTTTACTGTATACATTATATTTGCAAAGATCTGTAACTGCAACTCAGAATTTATGCAAGTCTCAGAAAGGAGTTTCTTCTTTTTCAACAGAACAAGCAGCCATGCACAAGCAATAGAACTTACAAATTACATGTAATCTAGTTTTCAAGATAAATTCATTTCCATTGTAGCACCCTGAGCTCAGACATGACTCCAAGTCCTTTGCAGTGAGTAGAACATTAGTGAACAATGCTTACTGCAAATCAACCTCAGGATGAAGCACTCAAAACATCCATGAAAAAGAATGCAAGAGTACTATGTACTTTTTCTTACAGTACACTTTGACTGAAGACCCTGTATTCAGAAATTAGAACTTGAGTACTGAGAATTAAACTATACAGCTGTGTATGGAGTGTGGTGGAAAAGAACAACTCATTTTTCAAGGCAGAGTGGCAGTCAAAGACAAGGATAAAACAGCACTCTGCTGCTGCAGCATTTGCACACAGCTTCTGTTTTACAGATTTGTGTTGGAAATGTCACAAAGCTAAATCAGATGCTACTAGCCTGGCTCTTGAAGGAAGATGTGCTTCTAGCACTCCCCACAACCAGTGATTGTGCATTTCTAGCACCAAAAAAAATCCATTCCTTCAGAGGATTACTTCTATTTGAAAGCTATCATTTTCAACAGAACAGTTATTCAACTGTAAAAGGCTAAAAAAAACCCCACAAAAATATCCCCAAATCAAAAAAGAACCAAATTAAAAACAAACAACCAACCAACCCCACAAAAAAGCCCCCAAACAAATAAACAAAAAAAACAACCAGAAACCCAAACCTGAAGGCAAACCAATATTCTATGCTTTTGGTTAGGTCTGAGACCAAAACATGTGAAAAAGGCAAACTTCAGGCTGCAAAACTTACTAAAAAATCTATGAATGCAGTACACATTGTAGGAAACTAGACACCAAATTTAAAGAAAATGTCAGCTGTTGACTTCAGCAGTTCAAGTCTTCCCCTTGGCTGGGGAGATGGACACAATTCTGATGCAAGCTGAGGAACTGTTTAAACCTCTCTGCCTCAAATGCAAGTAGTCAGAATCACTGGGAAGTACAACTTGTCAGTACTGCAAGGCCAGGCAGCCTCATTTTTGCAGGCTTTGCACTTCCTGGGTCTGACTGAGTGAACACCAGAGGAGCCTCCACTGACCGTATAACTTTGCCTCCTCCACCAGTTTCTGGCTTCTTTGCCTCACGTTTTCTGCATCTGCCAAGGCACGCTTGTACTTCTCCTAAAGAAGGAAAAACAGTAACAGAAGTTATTCCTCCCAGTCAGGCAGCTGACAGTAATGCAGCATATTCAGTATAAAACAGCATTTTAAACAGTTTTACACCCTAAATCTACCATTTAGAGTAATCTGAAAGAACATGTCAATTATCACACCATCCCTCCCAGCAAGACAAAAGTTTGCTTCACATCACAAGGACAGAAATGAAGGAAAGGAAATCAGATGGTTTTCCAAACTCTTAGTAGTATTTGTCAACAGATTAGCTGGAAAAAAATTCACTCTACAGATATATAAAGTTCTATGAACCCAGTATTTCTGCTTTTTCTGCTGTGTGCTCCCAGAAATCCTCCATCAGTCATGAGATACACTGACAGTACAGCAAACCAGATTCAACCCAGCCATGACTTTCAAACCAACTCTTCCCTCTCCATGAACACCACAGAGTGCCTTCAGTTTTCTCAGCCTTTACAAACTACAAAGCCTAACTCCTCTGTTGGTTAGGTCACATTTTGGTCTGCTCCTGGAAATAAGGCCATTTACCAGCAGATGCACTATGATGTGAAATACAGTAAAATTAATAAATAAAAATTCACACTGGGTGCTTTACCAACTAACCCCAAATGGCTTCCACCCTGAATATGCCTGAGCTTTGTAAGCCAGTGAAGAATCTCAAAACAGAATAAAAACAGCCAAGCTGCCTGGAGAACTGCATTAAGCAGCCAACAGCAAACAGAAACATTAAATTACATCTCAAATTTTTCCTGTAGAGCTTTGGCAAGGGCAACAGACCAACAGCAAACAGAGACATTAAATGACATCTCAAATTTTTCCTGTAGAGCTTTGGCAAGGGCAACAGAAAGCAAACTCAATCCACATATGATCCACAGGTGCTGGTTCTACAGAAGGTTCTGGGCTACCTCTTCAAGTCTCAAATGTCAGAAAGACATTTTATATAAAGCACTTGTTAAATCTTAGCTTAATGCCCACCTCCCAGGGCATCCTTCAGCTGCTGGAGTTGTGCACAGGAGAGAAAGCAAGATCCACAGGCCACAGAAGGGATGTGATGCTTCAGCCCAGAGTCTGAAGGGCTCTCCAACAGAAAAGGTCTGAAACTTCCTAACTACAGCCTAAGCACAGTATTGTACAAAAGCTAAGCACCATTAACTCCGACCTTTGGAAAGTCAGCAGCTGTTTCCATGCAGTCTACTGTTCACACACCAAATGCACACACCAGAGACACATTCACACCCTTCCATGGCTCCCAGAATTTACTTCCCCACTCAGTGAAACCTATGTGAAAATCAGTAACAAGTTTTCCGGCTGGAAAAGGTCAAATTCCATCCAGAAACTGGAAAGAAATTATCCAAGATCTTAATTATGGACCAGGGATGCATCCCAGATTTTGTAGCACATGTACTCTTAAATTTAAAGAGATTATTAAATTGTGGGTTTTACACATAACTAAACAGGAGTCAGATAAAGGTATCCAGACCCTCCACTGAGATCCCACAGTGCAGGCTCTTGGGCACACAGCCTGTAATCTGTGCAACCTAATAACCCAGAGACACTTACAGTAACTTCTTTTAGTTGCTCTTCCAGTTTGGCCTTTTCTTCAGCTAGCAGCTTTTCAGCAGAGCTGGGTTCCACCTTCTGCTCACTTTGGCTCTGACTCTGGTCCTCTTCCAAGTTCTGGCCAGTATTTTTCTGCTGTGTTGCTGCACAAAGCAGTCGTGGAGATGTTCTAAGACAAAAAAAGATGGACATTATTATTCTGTTGCTTATTTTGTAAGAGATCAACATTTTCTAGATAGAAAAGATACTTTGACACATACAGTTCTCAC